TCGATGTGGATGGTTAAATTTATTAGCTGAAGTATTATTTGCTGACATGAAATGGTGAATTTGATTGTAATGAAGCAGATGACAGAAGGGGTGAAGAATCTATTGTGTAAAGCTCAAGGAAACCAGACTCTTAACAATTTACTCAAGCATTCTCATTCACTTCTTCGATGAGGAAGTTAAAGAAGGAGATTGTGGCAGATAATCACATTCCTGATCCTTGTTTAACTTTCTGTTCCGTTGAAGATGACAGAATTTCAGCCCTAGTGGTCTACAGTTGCTTCAGGAAGAGCAAGAAAACAGCAGGCGTGACCAAGGAACCTGAAGAATGAAGATTATGCATATTGTTCAAGAGGACTCTTGTTTCTTCATGTGATTCATTCTGTGTTGCAGAAAGCAAAAGCTCGAGACGCTTTTGTTGATTCACTGACTGCAAAGTTGTTCATCTGTAAATTCATCTAATTCATTGATTATTTTCTCTAGACAATTCTTTTCTATAAGCAGTTTGAGTTCTTCTTTTATTCACTTCAAATAATATCAAATGGTAGACGTCTCTTTTTTTTTTTTTACTTTTATCAACCTTTGTAGTTTAGTAATGATTTCTAATCTTTAAAATGGTTTTGGGTTTGAATCATAAGGTTTGGGTGAGAAAAAGAACATGAGAAGATTACTTCCATCTTCCATGATTAAAAGATAATTTGATTAGAGCTTTTAGGTTATATTACTACAAGAATAAAACTCTAATTTGGTCCCTTTATTTTGGTAAAAAAAATTTTTAGTCCTTCTACTTTAAAAAATCTTATTTTGGTCCCTCTATTTAAAAAAATCTTTTTTTGATCACTAAAGTTTGAAATTTGATTCCTTTTTAATTCTTCCATTAAATTTTAACGTTAAATGATGAAAAATTTAAAGTAAAGAAACCAAAAAGGTTTTTTTTTTTTTTTAAAGTATAAAAATCAAATTGTGACTATTTTTAGCCCTATTTTACTCCATTTTTGGTTCCTTTACTTTAAAATTTTCATACTTTAACATATTATATGCACAAAACTTAATGAAAGGACTAAAAAGAATTATTTTTAAGTAGAGAGACTGAAAATAATCTTTTATTATCAAAGTAAAGGGACCGAAATAGGAATTTAACCTTATTACAACTACTAGTGTGGCCGTGATTAGGACCAAAATGATTAAGGTGTTACTGCTTAGGCTTTTGTTTGGTCAGAATTTTACACAATACTTTTTCCCTAACACTATATCTAAAATTATATATCTATTATAAATAATTAATTTTAATTAATATTTTATATATTTTTAATAATTTTAATTAATGTTATATAATTTTTATGATAGAAAAAGACAAAAATACCAATCAATACAACGCAACCAAGCTAGTACTCCCAATGGGAAGACTTTTTGTTTTTTCAAACGTTGGGAGTGGGAGTCAAACTCTACATCTACCAAATTTTGCATTAGAAATCCTTCACAGGAGAGATGCAGCTATTCGACCGCGAGGACATTCTTCAGAAGAAGACTTAATTTTTCAAGAGAAAGTAAAAATAAAGGCATTTTAATGTAAAATTAGTGTTTGTCTGTCTTACCTCTAAAAAATTAAGAGGAAAAAAAAAAAACACTTTAATTTATACTTTAAAAATAAAATATTTTAATCTTTTTCAATAAATGTTTATTAAAATAACGTAATTTTAAAAAATTATTTTTCTTAATCTTTAAGAGATAAGATAAATAAATACTTTTTTCTTTTAACATTTAAAATATTAGATTATTTATAAAATTATTTAAATAT